ATGAGATTTTTTAGCACCACTCTGTTTATGCATCATAAGCATTCAAGTCAGTGAGGTACTAGTAATCCCGATATATAAGTGAAAAAAAAAACGAACTACAAACATATTAACGCCAAACCTTCAGTAGATTTTATAGAATATTGTAAACATATATATATATATATATATATTCTCGTTTATAGTCTCCATCTGTTATGGGTCGGACTTTTGTATTCCATTCATCAGTTTTTCTTTCCATGACGATCTATTCATTGTGCCTGTCTCCTTGAGACCAAGTGTCTTCAAGTCGTCCTGTATGGTCGGCGTTCAGGACTTTCTTGAGCGACCTCTTTGGCGGGTGCCAGGCACCTGGTGCTCAGTAATGGAAATTACTGTATCGTTTTCGCTTCGCTTCACATGGCCAAAACATCGTAGGCGATGACGACCACATGATAGAACAGAAAAGTTTTTTTCGGTATTCCTATGCCATCTTAGGTGTTCAAACTGATATGTTGTGGTTATGCCCAGATGATCAAATATTTTTATACTGTGCCTATTTATTGGTTTCTTGTTTATTTTCAAAGTGAATCATTATTTTACAGTCTTTCAAAATCGTAAAATATAACACTTTTACGTGTTTTTATTATCGATAGATTTACCACTTTTATGTGTTTTCATTATCGATAAATATAACACTTTACGTGTTTTCATTATCGATGATTACTCTGTTTCTAAATTTATTGGTAGGAAAAATTCCAATTGCCCGTTGTTGAATATTTATGATGGGATGTCTTTATTCTATTATTTTCTAGTCGAAAATTTTAATGGTTGTTATTGTAATGTAAGATTTTAACATTGTGGTCCAGAATTTGTCTAGTAATTTTAGTTTTGTATTTCATGTGATTCTTTATAGCGCCAGTTGTGTATCGTGTCATTGAGTTTTATATGATCATTCTCTGGTGGTGGGCACTTTAGCCATCTTCCTTAAGGGCAAATTGGTTAAAACTAGACCTCCTCCTAGACCTGCGATCATTTATTCTATTGCAAAATTCTCAACAAAATAATTACTCCTTACACCACTAACAGGTATAACTTAAAATCTAGTAGGGAATTCATAGATGTATTGTCTACAACAAAACCAACTATTAACACCAAAATAGCATCCTTGGATGTGGAATCACTCTTTACAAATGTCCCCGCATACACATTTTGTATTAGTACGTCTAGGAAAGCTTTTTTTTATCAACTAATAATTATCAAAATTTATCCTCAATTTCATTTTTATTTAATAACCACTTCATCACAATGTTCGTTCAAAACTTCATAGAATAATATACAGTACTAATTTTTCTCGCACTGTCTTTTTTTCTAAGTCCCTTTTAAATTTTGGTATTAAATTATTGTCTTCATTGGCTAATTATCTTATATCTGACATTAATATTTATCACTTTTAAGAAGGTAATATTAAATTGTTATCAAATCATTTTTCATCATTTGTTTAAATTTTGGCTAAAAATTATGTGTATTGTAAATAGTGAATTTTGTTAATTTTTTGTTTGTTTGTTTTTGTTTTTTTTTATATATAATCTAATTTATTTTTTCAGAAACACTCGATAATTTGCTTGATTTTGTTTTTTTCACACTACATTTGTGCTATTTGATTTGGTACCATTAACAAACCTAGCTTGTGTGTTTAATATATATATATATATATATATATATATATATATATATATATATATATATATATATATATATTTAATCAATTTAAAAGTCAAATGTTTAAACAATATAATGTAAATAGTAAAATTCTAATTTTAAATATCCCTAACATTAAAAAATCTAGTTTAAATACAGTCATGTTGCAAATGATTTTCTGCGCAGTTCATTCCGAGAAGTTAATTCTTTGCATGTCTTCAATTGAAAGATTGTGGGCGCGTTCTTTGTAGCATAGTAGTATGGCCAAATGGTTTAATCTTAGCTGACTGATTTTTGATGGTAAATAAGTTTTTATGCGTCGAAGGACGGAAAACGATCTTTCAGAGCTGCATGTTGTCACAGAAATTGTAAGAAATATTCTAATAAGTCGAGAAAGTTCTTTTTGCATTTTATTCAAACCTTGTCCGTTTGTATCTTTTAAAACGTTGACAATGTCTGTGACTGAGGTAATAGATAAATTTCCTTGCTTACAAATATCGCGAAACATGTTGAATTGTAAATGTAATCTGTTTTTTGACACCTCTGGATATAATTCAGCAATAATTAAAGTGACTCCTGTCAATTGTTGCTGCATGTAAAATTTTTGATTCCAAATCGGCAAGTTTTTTGAAACCATCAGAATTGAAATTAGCGTCAAGTGAAAAGATAGCGGCATCTACGATCTCTAAATACATTTTTTTTAAATAATTGCGAAGTGTCAAATACATGAACGTTTTCGTTACCATCAGTAAAACGCTTCGGACGATTTCGCTGCCGTGGCAAACTTGGATCTTCAATATTTAATATTTTTGCATCATTAGTGGTATTTAACCAAAAAGACGAAAAGGTTTCATCGGATCGGTTCTGTTGAAGCGATAGCATTAGACTTTCTACGAGTATGCGTACTTTTGACACTGACAGTGTTGGACTTTACAAAGCTTTCGACTTTGTTTCCAATTTATCGTATATGAGAACCAAACAGCGAAACACAAAATATTTATGAAATGACGTCATTTTTGTGAGAAAACCAGCACATTTGGCGCCATATTCATTTTTGACAGGACTTTGATTTTCAAAAAAGTTTAGCAAAGATGTCCAGTTTATTAAAGCGCTCTTGATGTTACATATACGCATAGTCCAACTTGTTGGACATAATGGGTGCAATGATGTAATTGAAGCATTAGTTTGTTGAAAAAAGGAAAAACAAGCTAAACGTATAGGAGATTCTTTGATAAACGCTACAAGTTCTTTTACAAAATGGATTGCATCTCTGCACTCTAACATCATAGAAATTGCATCTTGAAATGCCAAACTAATATTGTGGTTGTAAGACGGTAATATTTCTTAGACTTTGACCTGTACTCCATTATGAATTCCAGAAACGTTAGATGCTCTGTCATAACATTTTCCTCGGCAATCTCTGATTTCAAAATTGAACTTTATTAAAACATCCCTCAAAATTTTGAACAATGTACCAGCATCTGTGGCGTCCGTGTTATAAAATTCTAGGAAATATTTTTCTGAAATAAATTCATTATCAACAACTCTTAAGCGAATGCTGACTTGTTCTTTAATTGCAATGTCACAAGTTTCGTCTAAAAGTATGGCATAATACTTTCTCAAATGAATATCACTTATAACAGATCTGAGAACGCTGTGCGACATAATTTCCAACAATTCATTCTGAATATCTTTTGAAGTTCATTGATATGATGTTTGTTCAAGCCATTGCTGTAATTCAGGACAATCTTCTGCACGCAGACGTAAAGTAAAAGACAGTGAAAATTCGAATCATCATCGTCTTGAGAGCGTATAGCGATATTTTGAACAGGCAAAAACTTTTTTTTAATATTTATTTTCAAACATTGAGGGGGCTCAAGATAGGCTTCAGCCCGAAGAGTTAAATATTGGGGGGCTCTAGCCCGAAAGCCTGTACAAGTCGCCGCCAGTGTCTATATATATAATATATATACATACAAGTTTCATATATTTTCTATCGCTACTGTTTTATTTATCAATTTTAATTTCTCTATTTTTCTAATAATAAATTGTAATTTATTGTTTAGTTTAATAATTAAATTAACAAAATGTTTGATAATCTTCATTTTATTGTTATTTAAAATTAATATATTTGAATAAAAATTAAATCAATGAAATAAATTAATATAAACTAATTAAATTTCATATTTTTATAAAAAAATTTTTTTGTATATATTTAAATTCTTTTTTATTAAAATGTCAATTTAATAATAATTAATACCAAGAAAAATGTAATGAATAACAAACAATAATAAAATAGTCAAAAAATTAAAAAAAAATACAAACAACAACAAAAATATTTAACAAAAATCAACAATTTTTAGACTTAACAGTCTAGAGCATCATTGTATTTCGGGGTGTCGATGATGGTCAATGAAAGTTTCACGCTGTACTCCTCAATCTCCTTGTACCTTTTCTCTATTTGAACTGTCTTCTCTATCAAATCCTCAGCAAACGGAAATGAGCAAATGGGATAGGATGGGTTCACCAGTGTTTATTGCTTTGGTTTTGCTGATGTTGACTTTGAATCCATGATCGGCCAGTCTGGTGTTCCAATCTTTAAACATCTGTGCTGAATTCTGCTGAGACGTAGCTGTTAAAACGATATCATCAGCATATATTTGATTCCAAATGCCACCAGTGCGTATCGGCTTTGTGATTTATTCCATCAAAGTTATAAATAACAGTGGACTGAGAATCGAGCCTTGGTGAACTCCAACGCCGATGTCAAATGCATCTGCGTTTCCAACCGTTGTGCCGACGAGAGTCTTAGTATTCGTATGCATTTCCATCACAAGTCGAACAAGATGTCGACTAGACTCCACCTGATTGCTTCACGGGTAACTCGATCAAATGCTTTTTTAAGGTCTACGAAAATGTGTGATAGTTGTTGATCCTTTGCTGTTGCCGAAGGATGTGAATTGCATCAATTGTTGATTTCCCCGCTAGGAAACAAAATTGATAATTTCCGATTGTGATGCACTACGTTAATCTTCTCTCAATGATTTTCTCGACAATTTTCAGGGAGTGTTCTAACAGGCGTATACCCCGATATGATGAAAAATTTAATGGATCACCTTTGCTTTTGTATAGCGGAACTGTAATGCTATAGTTTCATTCAGTCGGCATTGAGCAATTTCTCCACACTTCACGGCAAAGTTGTAGTAATGTTTGGATACCTGCAGTACCAGATGCTTTGATAATGTCATTTGTGAGTCCAGAGGGCCCTGCTGCCTTTCCATCCTTCATAGCTTTTAGAGCTTCTGTAAGCTCCTCTACAGTGATGTCTGGAATCGACCTTCGATGGGTGGAGCGTCAAAGTTGACATTGATTTCTTTCATTTAACAGACGGTTGAAGTATTCTCTTTACTGTAGCTTGATCTCATTTTGTTCAAGAACCATCTCATTTTTGTCGTTTTTGATACACGAGGCACCAACTATGTCTTTTTTCGTACGCT